GAAATCAACAGATTGGCAGGTACTGGTGGGGGGAGATTAGGGAGAAGACAGGTGCATCGGCCGTCCCGCAGAATGAGGCCTGGAGTCAGATGGGAGCCCCCCTTGACAAGGACATGTGTGCGCCTCAGGCTGATGTACGCAAGCCAGACTTTATTTTTTTATTAATTACTTTCTGTTTTACCTCCCCATGACTTAGGCACGTATCTAATCTGGAAACCTTACCTTAAATATCTTTTTTCTTAAAAAAAATAAGTAACTATTGTTTTGGAGTACATTTACATGTGTGAATTAGTAAATGAAAGCGTTGGGTGAAAGGAGGCAGGTTCTCTGAGTTTTTCTGTATAATCTCACTGTGGTGTTGGGTGGACACGACCAGCCTGTTTGGGTGACCCTGCGGTTGATTTCTGCCTTGTTCGTTTTCTTGTTTTAACATATTAGAAACCTGTAATCACATCTCTACTCTGGGAAGGAGAATCCAAATGAAGATGTTTCCTGTGGAATAAGTTGTGGCTGCTTATTTATCATAAGGGAGAGCTCAGCTGATCTCTCTGGATTTGTGGGGAAAGGCAGTGAAGGAAGTATTTGACTTATACAGTTGGGCATAAGAACCTTGGATTGAACGAGATAGACTCCTCGCGATGAATGGTTTTCTGTAATGTTGGGTCACGGTGGTTGTCAGTGACATCAGCTTCAAAGTGCCATCTTTACTGTCTTGGGCTTCTGAGTGGGACTCCTGTCACAGGGCCTCCAGTAACCTGGTGTGACACTTGACATGGCCCTGCTGTTTTGTTTTCTGTTTTAAGGATTAGGAAATAGTCAAGAAATTAATCTTTTCTTGATGACTTAGTCATCCTTCTATGCACTGCCAGGTAGAGGGCACCTGCTGATGCCACCGGAGCTGGCGCATTTGGTTTTACTTCTCTGTGCGAGGACTGTTTTGTATTTTAAGTCGATAGGGTTTCTTTCTTTTCTTTCCCTTCCTTCCTCCCTTCCACCTCCCCCTCCTCCTCATCTTCCCCTCCCCTCTCCCTCCCCCTCCTCTTTCCCTCCCCTCTTCCTCCCCTCTGTCTTCCCCTCCCCTTTTCTAGCTCTCCCTCCCTCCTTCCGTCTTCCTGTCTCATCTCCACTCTTAGCCCTATGTCTAGCTTTCAGCCGTTGGATTAGTTAACTTTACCCTGGAAATGCCTTTTCTGTTACTGTAATGGCTTGTAGTTGGTGTTTATGGATATGTAGCTAATTTTGGAGCTCTGTGTGTGCGACAGAAGTCTGGTTACCCTCAGAGACTTCACGTGAGATGAGCCTTGGTAGCCTGGATATCTGACGTCCGCTGCGTGTTTACTGCCCTTAAGCCATTTCTTCATTTTAC